TATATATCTCAAAACCCTTAACAGTTATACCCCCCAAAAGCCCTCACCAATAACTTGTAAGCCCTCACCAATTGCCTCAAAGCCCTCTGATTGCTCTGAAAGCCCTGCAATTACCCCCAAAGCCTCTGATTACCTTAAAGCCTTCACCAACCTTGTAAGCCCTCACCAATTACCCCTCAAAAGCCTCACCAGTACCCCCAAAGCCCTCACAATTACCCCCCAAAAGCCCTCACCAATTACCCCAAAGCCCTTACCAATTACCCCCCAAAGCCCTCATAATAACCCTCTTAAAGCCCTCACCAATTACCCCCAAAGCCCTCACAGGTACCCCCAAAGCCCTTACCAATTACCCCAAAAGCCCTACAATAACCCCCTTAAAGCCCTCACCAATTGCCCCAAGCCCGCACCATTGCCCTCCAAAGCCTTCTGGTGCCCCCAAGCTTGTCACCAATTGCCCCCAAAGCCCTCACAATTACCCCCTTAAAGCCTTCACCAATAGCTTGTAAAGCCCTCTTAATTGCCCCCTTAAAGCCTTCTTAATAACCCCTTAAAGCCCTCACCAATTACCCCAAAAAGCCCTCGCAATTGCTCCCAAAGCCCTGCAATTGCCCCTTAAAGCCTTCACCAGTGCCCCCAAAGCCCTCACCAATTACCCCCAAAGCCCTCACCAAGTGCCCCCCATGCCATACCAATTGCCCAAAGCCCTCTGTCAACCCTCTTAAAGCCTCACCAATTGCCCCCAAGCCTCACCAATTGCCACCCCCAAAGCCTCTTGATTACCCCCCAAAGCCTCGCAGTGCCCCCAAGCCCTCCACCAATTACTTTGGCCCTTACCAGTGCCCCCCAAAGCCCTCTGTGCTTGTTTAAGCCCTCACCAGTGCCCTCAAAAGCCCTCATAATTACCCCCAAAGCCCTCACCAGTACCCCCAAGCCCTCTTAATTACCCCCCAAAAGCCATGCAATTACCCCCAAAAGCCCTCACCAATAACCCTCTTAAAGCCTGCAATTACCCCCAAAAGCCAATTACCCCCAAAAGCCTTCACCAATTACCCTCCAAAAGTCCGCACCAATTACCCCCAAAAGCCTTCACCTATTACCCCCCAAAAGCCCTCACCTTCCTGAACTACTGTAATCACCAGTTTTACCATAATTCTGTATCAGTATGAAAGAGTAAACACGTGTCAAGGCGCACCTCACCACAGCCATATACTGTATCCAATTAGATCAACAGAAATGCCACCGTAAACATTGACGAATAAAAATTGCATCCTTACACTGCCTCTTCCTGCAACAACACACTCGAGAGCCACTTAATAAAACTCTCTTAATATAGCGAGATGACTGAAAAGACTAATATTACTGTAATTTTTTTTCTCCTGATATATAGAATTAGAACGTCTTGTGATTGATTTTCAAGGTGTTCACATTATGGCTCTGAGATTAATGTGGATGGGATACTCAGGTTAGGTTAGGGGTACTGGGGTGTAGTGGTGGTGAGGGCCTCGTGGGGATACTGTCAACCGCACAACCTGTTTTCAGTTCTCACGCGGTGGTGGAGATGGTGGGGTGGTGTGGGAAAGAGGACAGATTGGTTCCCTCCATATCTCTACCAAACACTATCACACACCAAACAGTATACTGTATAGCTATCATATGGTATCTAGTATTTAGGTACAGGTTACTATTAGGAAGCAGGAGACTTATACTTACTAAATCATCTCTACCACCATACGACTCCATCCCAGTAGTTTAAGGTAAATAATGTTATGTGGGCTCGTATCTTTTATTAATAAACAGAATTATTTAACTCGTATTCGCCTACCTGATTATAAATTACAACTAGGTACGAGACGTTGTTTGGTAGAATGGTTGTTATGTAGTAGTGATGGTAAAATGCACTGGTATGGGAGTAGTATTGGGCTGGTACTGGATGTGGTTGTTTCGCCGTATATGGACCAAGAATGGCGACTTTCCTTTCTTTGGTATGTGGACCGTACCTTACACGGTCGGCTACTTGTATAAGCTTCGTGCATTTCTAAGTGAGGAAAATGACAGCAACAACACAATTATGATGCCCGCAAGAAAAGGAAGATCAAACCAAACGCAACTTACTTTCGTGGTACAGTTGATGCTCACCAGCTAGTGCGCATGTGCAGCCTCGCGCCAATCAAAACATAAACATTGGAAGGGTCTATTAAGTTATCATATAGGCGTCTCACCTTCGACCTGTAGTGATAATCTCCCGGATATTTTTTTACCCGAGATGTTGATCTCATAAACAGGATATTTAATTTATTGCCAGTATCATGTAGTATTGGTGATATATTATGATTAAAAAAGTTTGTACTGTACAAAGGTTGTGTATCCTACATCGGTTACCTACCTCTGGGAAATTTTTTACCTTTGTTTTGTTTTTGGTTAACTTTTGAGGCTATTTAAGTTGGGTAATCTTTGGAGGTCTTTTTGATATGAGACTGAATTATGAATTTACATATATTTTCATGTAGGTTGAGCTGTAGAGTAAGATCACCAGTTGTGTATTATACTATAATAAGTATACATTTACTGATATTTCATAATAAATATTCTGAATACTGTGAGGAAGTTGACCGTGTAGTAGAGAGTGTGTCGTCAGCATGACATGGTTGGGGTGTGTCAATGTGGTGGTGGAGCGTGGCCTGGCAGTGCATGGGTTGGGAGAAACTGTTGTTATTATCGTGTTAGCGGACATACAAGGTTCCTCCTGGTACCACACACACGATGGTTACCGTCATGCCTTGCCACTGACCTTATACGCTGACATGCTCTCCTTCGTCGTTTTGCGTTATACCTGATGTGTATTTTACCCATATAAAAGGTCTTCCGTGTGCGAGGCAACAGTAACCTTCATGTGTCGTGTAATATCGCGCGCTACTGTAACGCTCTCCGTGTTGTCATCTTCCCGGCGTGACAGCTCACCTTGGCAGCATTTTTTATAAACATTTCCTTCATATCAGTGTTAAGTCTCATTTATTTCTTATACTGTTGCACCGTGGAAATCAATGACGTGTGCTCTATATCTCAATCTGGATTTCCACTGATATTTTGTCTTAATTATCTTCCTAAATATGTTGGTAGTTAAACAGGGGTAATTGTGTTTTGTGTGTCATTCAGTCATCATGGCCTTGTCGCTTTCTCGTGTCTCACTTTCACTCTCGTTGACATTTTCTCACGCCACAGGTGTTCTCCCCTGTGCTCCTCACTGCCTGTCCTGTTCCCCAAGGCTCTGATTCTCACACTATTCCAATGTTTATTTCTTTTCTTAACTGAGGATACCATAATGGATACAGTTACTATAGCCACCTAGTGTGTCTTGGGTGTTAAGGTCACTATTTTCGTGTCTTAGTTAATGTCTGTGCACGCATACGTGAGAGATCGTCTTACAGATTCAAAAGATTGCATGACACTCATTTTTTGAAGGGGGCAGATCCATGACACGTAAGCGTCTCCTGTGCACATGTAGACGACTCGATAAAAACCACCCAGTATCAGGCTAAACATTCAACCTCCGAATTAGTCCTTTAAGAGATGAGTCATTTGGAGGGATTCTTGTCTCTGGTTTAGGAAAAGTTTGATTTACGAACGTTTGAGAAATCAGACACCTTCAGCCATCAAGGAGGTGTGTGTGTGTGTGTGTGTGTGTGTGTGTGTGTGTGTGTGTGTGTGTGTGTGTGTGTGTGTGTTTCCCCCGTGGCTACATGATCACGCGCTGAGGAGTATTGATGTGGAGGACGTGCAGGTTGGTCACTCAATGGTGGCGGTCGGCAGGTCCTTGGCCTTGAGGCAGCAACTGTGTATTGTCCTGCCAAGTAGCTCCTTCCCACCCCACGTCCTCCACAATCCCTCCCACACCTTCCATTCCATCTTTCCCTCCCTCCCACACCTTCCATTCCATCTTTCCCTCCTTCCCACACCTTCCATTCTATCTTTCCCTCCTTCCCACACCTTCCATTCCTTCTTTCCCTCCCTTCCACATCTTCTATTCGTATTCCATTCCCGACCTCCACAATCCTTCCCACTCTCTGCTTCATGCTCCTTCCTTTTCCATTCCTCGCCATCCCGACCTCCACAATCCTTCCCACTCTCCCACCAGTGCTTCATGCTCCTTCCTTTCCTCCTCGCCACCCCTCCCCCCTCGCCACCCCTCCCCCCGTATGGTCACTCGTGGGAGCTTGTCCCTCGCCGCCGTGGTTGGGTGTTCTTAATCGCTAGTCTATCATTATAAGACCCCAGGTTCGATCCCTTCTTCCCTGGTACTTAGTAAAAAGTTATAATCCAGATGATACTCTCATGTTATTGTATAATTTTCTTCAGATAAATGTATAGAATTTATCAGGTGCCTTTCATGAGACCTCGAACACTGAAGCTACTCAGTAATCATGTTGTTGCTGTTGCTCTGTTTTTGTATTGTTTTAGCTCAATAAAGTTTTTCAATGTCTATATCCTTAACCCATGATTGGGAAGAGGTGAATAGACCTAGAGTCACCTGCCTCAACTTGCTGGGTCAGTGATAACAGGAGTTGGTATTCAGAACGTTATTTTCAGTCTGGTGTATCGTATGCATGCTCTGGTGTGTGTGTGGGGGGTATTCAGCTCACGAGAACCCACCTGACTTATGACCTTATTCTCAGAGCCAAAGTCAACCATCTTAGTTCTTTTTGGCATTAACTCTCAGGCATATTTCTTGTAATCTTAAATTGGCTGTTAATCCACACCCACCTGTGTATGACCACCGACCTGTATTAGGAAGTGATGAGGGTCGAGTGCAGTGCCGGTCATACCTCCTGTGTGGCGAGACTGAGTATTGGATCTGCATTACCCAGGTATAGGGGATCCATTTTCACTTTCGATCATATGACAAAGTGTCTCATTTAAACTGTACTACAGGTATTATTAATGCTGTGTGTGTAGCGTGTGGCGGGCGGCGATAGTGTGTTAAATGTGTGCTCTTGCTTCTACAGGCGGTGGAGGACAGGGTGAAGGAGCAAGAGGCGGCAACGGCTGAGCGAGCCCGTCTGGAGGAGATCCTGACCCTGTGTGCTGAGTACGAACGACAACACCAGACGGGCACACCCTCACCCAGGCCTCACCTCTCACCCCACTACACCCTCACTCAGAACAGGTCAGTAAATACTACACCCTCACCCAGGCCTCACCTCTCACCCCACTACACCCTCACTCAGAACAGGTCAGAAAATACTACACCCTTACCTAGGTAGGCTTCACCTCTCATCCCAGTACACCCTCACCAGGTCAGTTTATGTACCATGGCAACACCCGGATCTTGGAAGAGGTAAATACAAGGTGTTTTTATGATAACTTGTAAGTGTAGGTGGTACATCTCTCACGGTAAGTATTGAGTGGCGAGGGTGTCATAGTTTACGTGTGTGCTGTAGGTGTACAGTAGGTTTATCTTCTGAGTCTTAGATGTGTCAACAAGCATTACTCCGAGACACTGTCGTAAAAGTCACAGTATTGCATACAGTATCGAGACTTTCCAAAAATATTGTGGAAATTGGATTTCATTGTGGTCTTTGGTTGTTACGATCCTTCTTATTGACATTCGTCCAAAATCAGGATTGGAAAATGTTAATTCTTTAGTTGACTGAATTTAATGATTGGGTGATGCTGAAAATTTTATTAAATTGATTAATCAGACTTGGTGACTCAGGCCTAGCACATGCACCATATCTCCTTCAATGGCCACACTCATAGGGGACGACTACGAGTACAAACATGATATTATGAGGGCCGTGAAGTCATGTACAGGTATTCGTAAAATATAATGTGGGCTGTGGTTATGGCGAGGGTGAGAGGCCGTGGGCAAGGTGTCTGGTCTGCCCTGCCTCCAATCTCCTAGTTTAAACACTCGCCGCCAGGGGTATCTGTAATCACTTGGGGAACGTGAAATATTTTATTTTTATTTTACACTATGAATTTACTAGACAAGTATATAATAATAAAATAATGAATCGCGTCGAAAATACTTCAGAATGTTTATGTATTCATCTTGGGGGTTACGGCCTTATTTTAGTAGAGTTTAAACTGCCGATAAAATTTAATGCACTGAAGAGCTAAAGGATAAATTTGTTAATAACTTGACCCAATTATTGTATTGTATTTAGAGAAAGTTGGTACCGATAAATTAGGCTCTTTCTGGAACGATGTATGAGGGGGGAGGTCATGTGCCGTAATGAGGAAGGAATGGACAATGAACTAAACATTATTGGGGGTTGGAGGAGATTGGTGGAGGGGAGGTGTTGGGGTACAGGAAAGGTGGAGTAGGGGGAGGGACAGTCTACAGCAGGACGGGATGGCAGTAATTAGTGTTAGTGCCACAGTAGTGTCCCTCTCTTACTGGCCTGAGCACCATAACTCGCTGTATTTGCTATCACAATACAGTCTACAGTTCGTACATATAGTGACACGTTATTGTTATAGGGTAGGTATAGTATTAGTGATGTGAGGTGGTGTTTGTGTGTTCACTAACCACTGTGAATAATGTGGTATTGACTGTGGTGAAGGTGTGACGCTCGCTGTTTCACTAATGATACCATTACCATAACTGTGGCAACAAGGAAGTGTAGAGGTGGTGGTTCACTCCCGTAGCGTCCAGTTGTACCCCAGGATGCTTACACTGTCTTGTAGCTCCCTGGCCCACCACTACACCCCTCACCTCCGTCCAGTTCACTTCCAATAGTGTTTGGATTACTGTACATATCTGCCTTAAGTTGAGTGATTGATGTCCTGGAAAGCTTACTATGATAATCCTTATCTGTCAAACGTCATGGTTGCGAAGAATTTAATCTTGAGGTTGCAGTTTGGTCATTATGATCAGCCATCGTAGTTGCGTCACAAGTTCGCGTAAAAATGTTTGGGTGGGTGTCCCCTATGTACTGTTTTCTATCATGGTGTACAGTTTTCTGTGATAAATTGAAACTACCGACGAAACTTTATACAGTGCAACATGGATATAAGGATGTACAGTTACGAAGGCAAATAGAAGAGCATCTAACCGTGATTTACATTTTCCGTTAAACGAGGATCTTAAGTTGATTTTTGCACCAGGAAATGAACCTAAAACTAATATGTTGTACTTAACTAAATCTGAAGTGTTGTGTTGAGAAACATATCAAATATAATTAATTAAATTCATTTTGATTTCTCTGTAGGGTATTTAGGAGTAGATAAATCATTGATATCAGACCCAAGACTAGATTTGAGCGTCTAACTTACAGTATATTGAAGACCCCATGACCACCGAACTATATAGGACTTTGGACTGTAAAGAAATATGTCAAACCTCATCATGTTGTTTTGGTATATATTTTCTTAGAGACATAAGGTTAAAGGAAGGTGTGATAATTATGGTCGATTAGTTGTGCTTGTGATATCATAAGTTTTGGGATAATGCAGCCGCCATCACGGAACGGAGCAACAATAATGATTTTGACAATTGACTTAGTGTTATAATGATGGGGCAATAAACTATTATGTGAATGTCGAATTATATCTTGAACATTCTGGACCGCTCACACACACACACACACACACACACACACACACACACACACACACACACACACACACACACACACACACACACACGGCAATCTATAAAATAAGTTAATATGTTTCGTTTCATGTTTATGTTATGTATAGGTTAGGCTAAGTTAGATTAGGTTCGGATGGGATAAGATATTAGCTGAAAACTGTAAATACCTGTACAGTATTTCATTCAACTTCACACTGAATCGAACCTGATCTAACCTAAACCTGTGCCGAACATGAGCATGAAACGAAACATTTTCACTTTATTTTAGAGTATGCATGTATGTAGGTATGTATGTATGTATGTATGTGTATCTTTTTGAGTACAGTATGTTAGTATATCTGTAGGGGAAGTGCATTTAAGTTTTTGTGGATGTTATCTATTTTAAGTGTTTTATATGTTTGTTTGTGTGTGTGTTTAATTACGTAAGTGCGTGGAGTATGTGTATAGTTTAAATATAGTTATGAGGTGGGGGAGGCGTGCGGCGAGCCACTGATGAGTCGACAGCTAGACGTGTTACTGCAACCTTCTGGGGGCTTGGGCTACCACTACTACCACTACCACACACCTCGGGGACCACCACTACCATACACACACACACACACACACACCTTAGCTACCACCACCAACCTCATGCCTTCTCGATTGTCAGCCTTCAGTAATAACCTCGAGTGTCAGCCTTCAGTGATAACCTCGAGTGTCAGCCCCCAGTGATAACCTCGAGTGTCAGCCCCCAGTGATAACCTCGAGTGTCAGCCCCCAGTGATAACCTCGAGTGTCAGCCCCCAGTGATAACCTCGAGTGTCAGCCCCCAGTGATAACCTCGATAGTTAGCCTTCAGTGATAACCTCGAAAGGCAGCCTTAGTGACAGCCCCCAGTGATAACCTCGAATGTCAGCCTTCGGTGATAACCTTGAGTGTCAGCCTTAAGTGATAACCTCGAGTGTCAGCCACAGTGATAACCTCGAGTGTCAGCCCCCAGTGATAACCTCGAGTGTCAGCCCAGAGTGATAACATCGAGTGCCAGCCACAGTGTCAGTGTATGATGAACTGTCCTCACTGTTGATTGTAAGTGTCAGCTTTCAGAAACAGACTCATTTGCCATTCTCAGTATTAGTATACAACACTTGACCCAGATTACAGCTTGTGGTGCCACTTGTCACTATTGAACCCCGAGTGCTACGTGTTTGTGCTAGTGTACCTTGCAGTGTCATTTCTCGGTATGATCCTCGTGTCATTTCTTGGGGTCGAACCTCAGTGTCGGTCAGCTAACAGATTTGTGTCACTTCCCAGGCCAGTTATTAGTGTTCACAATGTATCACTCCCAGTTGCCAGTGACAAGGCTTCGGTACAATTCAACATATCTATAACCATTAATGTGTTTTTACCCCCCTGTTTTTAAATAGGTGTTGGTATATAGTATTTATCTAGTTTGTCTAATCCGTTCGCTGTATTTCGGTTGAATAACTTTCACAAAGTCATCACGATTCTAAGTAAATTATGGAATACAGCTGTAAATATGCCATTGATATACAGGCTTAGCTCTCTCTCTCTCTCTCTCTCTCTCTCTCTCTCTCTCTCACACACACACACACACACACACACACACATGCAGTTATCTTCGGGAAAATTTTGGCAATAACTCTATTATTACCCTCATGGAGTGTCTTAACTATTTTATGTTATTTAGTCTAAATGGAGCTGTTGTATTTTGTATGTTAAAGCACTGGTAAGATAAATACACACTAACTCATTCCAGCCGACTCAATGTACGTGATTTATTTGATATAACTGATAACGTACACTGTAATATATGCGTTTGTTTACCTCATATCTGTGTGAACCAAGATCTCCAGCAGTTATATCCTGTAATATGTAGTGTGGTGGCTTGTTATTCAAGGGACGAGCGTTGTTATTTATTTTTACCAATGTCGGGATAGTGATGTACAAAGAACGGATTGTGTAAATATTACTAGTGCGATATGTTATACAAGGGGTGAGTATCGTAGCCTAGTATTAGTGTATGAAGTTCCGTCGCTCGATCTAGCCTATAGGTCGACTGTTGTGTAAGATACTGGCTGCGTCTATTTGTTATGATAAGTGTGGCTGTATTTCAGTCATGGCTGTTGATGTTGACTGTTGTATAAATAGTTAGTGGAAGTGATGCATTGTAGTAGTAGAGCTAACACCAGGATCTCTTCGCTGAGTAGCCTAGTTCACTTGTCATCAATCTTATCCTGCAGGCGCCAAGTGTAGCTCTGACACACACACCACTGGGGCATCATAACACTGGTTCTTGAGCGACAGGTGGTGCACTCATGGGTGCACTACACCACCTACCACAGGATTTTCCAAGACGATTGCGTTTTCTTCTTCACCTAACTGGCAATAAGCATCGTCTCATGTGGAAGCTTTTGTGCACCTTTGACGCTTTGAATCCAATATTTATCTCGTGTCTCAAAAAAGCCAATTTTACTTGCTCGAAGCCTTATTTAAGGAACAAAATTCAAGGTACGAATCTTCGAAATTATTACTGGCTCATGACATTCAATGGTAAACTCATAAAATAT